CTGGAAGAAAATTAGAAGTCTTTGACATTTGCATGGATGATAAATAACAATAAGGAGAAACCTTTATTGCAGAGCAGTCAGATTCAAATGGTAAGATTCAGAATTCTATAGCACAAATTTTAGTATAAGCAAACCAATGCCATATACTTAGCAGTGAATAATGGGTGCCATGCTTACAGAACTAGTAGTTATGTATTAGAAAGCAGTAATTACAGAAGATGTTAAGGGTTATTGTAGGTAACCAACTGACCGTAAACTGCTTTTTCATTGCTATAGCTGAAAGAGCTAATGTTATCTTTTCAAGGATAGTCTGAACAAACAGAGAAGAGAGTAAAGGTGATGTGATCACTTCCTGAAATCTTGGCACAAGCATTACTGGAATACCATTTACAGTTAAGAATTGCTACTTCTTTTAAGAGACCATGGAAAAAATTGGTATTATTCGGAGAACACTCTGGAGTGAACTGTGCTCTGGAAAACACATTTTATAACAAACCCTTCCAAGAAAAAAAAAAAGAAGTCATGAAATTAAGGGTGCTCTTGACTTCTGTTTTCAGAGTTTATGCAAAATCAGATGCTGATGGATTGTTTAATCTGACATCCAGTGGGTAGACAGCGAAATAGGAAAATTCAAAGTTTTAGACACACAATACTATGGTCACTTTAACTATCACAATTATAATAAGATACAGTATAATAATGATAATAATCACAGTTTAATAGGTTGTTGGAAATGTTTCCTCAAAAATGAGGTGTAGATTCTTTGACAAAATTTAGGAATTTAGGGCTAACCTTAAGTGTGCTCAACTGGGAAGTCTCCATCCTCTAAATCTCTATACTTGTTTCTGCTAAAAAAGGAGATGGGGTAACATTACTTCTGAGTAAGGCCTGGAATTAGATAAAATCAATCCAGATATTAAGATTGTTCATTTGGTGTTTTTTTTCTGTTTTGTTTTGGGTTTTTTTGTTTGTTGTTGTGTTGTTGTTTTTTTTTTAAAAAGAGATGTTTTCTTTCAAATTGTGTATTGGTCTCTGTAAAAGAATTAGAGGGTGAACTGTGGCTGGATTTTCATAATTGTTGCTTTTTGTCCTTAAAACATCCAAGTGCTTCCACAACCATTTGATGGAAGAATGGCTAAAACTTCTTAAAGAGTGTTCTACATTTTAGTTTTACTGATGTAGGGACAAGGAAAAAAAAAGGAAAAAAAAAAAAAAGCAAAGCAAGCCATCTAGACTTTTCAGTCCTCCTCTAGAGCTAATAATAATAGAGATAATGCAAAACAGTTGCAAAAGCACATAATGGAATTCCAAAGTTAGTAGAAAAGAAACCGTTCTGTTTTTTTTTTTTTCTTCAGGCAAGAATGAATTAATGTTTTCTTAATCTCAGTACTATGATCATATGTTAAATTGCTCGTAAAATCCTAAGCTAAAGACACTGGACTCACTAAACAGTTTCACCAGTTGATGGAAGAATGCTTACCTGCTATTGAAGTATAATAACATCCAGTAGCTGCTTTGAGAAATTGGCTGAAATGAAACATAACTATAAGGGTTTTATGAACGATCTGTAGTAAAATTGTATACCAGCTGCTATGGGAGGTAATTAAAGGCTCATAAAACCATATGGGTCTTGACAGTACTGCTCTTGTTGTCTCTCTGCATTTCTTCTTTAGATGTGACAAGTTCTACATGTGTAGGTAATTGGTAAGAGAATTTCTGTGCAGTATCCTAGAGACCAGTCCTAGCCTACTTTGTCTTTGGCAAGAAATAAAATACGAAGATTAACATAATCTGTGTATTATAATGTTGAGGTAAACAGAGAACATATTTGAGTTCTCAGTTTCTCAACTACTGTTGTATTAGAATGCGAATTCATTTGGGCAAAACCAAGTAAAATCTTGGCTAAGCTTCATGTTTAGAAAATCGTTCATTCTATTCCAAGATGAAGAGAAGAGTCCTGCTAAGAAATTAGCTATTTTTTTGTTGTTTCATTCCTTTCTTGTCTTCATATGCTGAACTCCAGGAAGTTATACATGTAAGGACAATTCAATGTTTAAAATTTCAGGAACAGTCCAGTTTGACCATAATGGTGACCAAATCAGCCCAGTAACTGGGGGGATTAGGAAAGGGAAAAAATTTAAAGGTATAGACATTTCTTCAAGAGCCATTCTTTTTTTTTTTTTTTTTTAATAGAGTGTTCTCAGTGTATAACAAAATGCTTACTAGCTCCTGTTCAAAGTAGTAGAATGCCTTTTACACAATTCTAATAATATTTTATCAGGTAAAAAACGTGATGGTATTTACAATGATCGGCTGTTGGTAATTTAAAAAAAAATATTTTATTTGACATCTCTAATCAGATAATACTACACCATATATCAGAATGTAGTGAATCTGTGTATTTTTTTTCAATATCCTTCAGAATAGGATTCTGTTAGCCAAAACCATTTTAGCTTGTAGAGATGACTTATGTTGCTGAGAAACAAATTTGGCATTGTGAGAGATGCAATTACCTGGTGAAAAGTTCTTTGAATGGCATAAAGCCCCAAGGAGGTAAATTGAAGTCTCAAACTAGTCCACAACACATTCAGCTGTTCTTATTGTAAAAGCTGTATTTTAAGGTTTTTAACTTTCATGTTAGTGTATAAAATTCAGTATTGTGGTCGTGCAGGATAATGCAGGTTAAATATGTATATGAGTAATATTCTTCCATAAGGATGTTCACTGTTCTTTTTGTTGTGGGGTATAGCTGCCTATGATGTCATTGTGGAAGCCAGATCATTAAATAACCATGGTAAATATTAACCATATTAACCGTGTTAAATAAATTAACCATGTTAAAAATAGTTTTCAAAAGACACAGGGGAATGGCAGTGTTATAAATTGTCTTCACTGTTGAGGTCAGTGGTGATGGACAGTATGTAATTTTTCTCTTCATTCTTAGATTACATTTTAGGTTTATTTAGAGAAGGTTTTTTAGGTTTATTAAGAAGAGTGCCTTTTTTTTGCAAGGAGGTCTGTATGGAAGCCTGTACAAAAGGCTGTGGTGGGGAATAATGCTCCTTTCCAGTGCAGCAGCTTGAGGGGAGAGAGAATTGTGTATGATGTATAGAGGCAGATAGAAGAATGAGGAAACTACAGCCTGAATTTGGGAATATAAAGCATCTGCAGCACCTTAACAAATTGCTAAAGGGAAAGCGCAAACCAAGGCATGCCTCAAGGCCAACAGAACCACCTTGATGATCAGCGATCATGAGGCATAGTATGCTGCAACTCATAAGATGACTGAAATCAAGACTGGAAGTAGGGGCCTTTGTGCAAGGACCCATTAGGGTGGAGAAGAGTCATCTATAGATGTTATTACTCCTGTTCTGTTTAGCCTGATCACTCTGTTTTTCGCATTTAATAGAAGTATTCTAATTAATTACAACAAAAGTGGCTTTCCAGAATTTGAGAATTTGAATGTCTCTTTTTGACTTGCTTTAAAAATTCCCTCATAGGAGACGAACATCTAAGCTCTGGCCACCTCATGGTCTAGTCACACCACCTATGTTGTAATGCATTTATTTTTTTCAGAAGGTCGTGGTTTATCAGCTGTATTTTTGACAGTGAGGAAAGAGGAAATCTGATTCTCTCTTTCATTAATGTACGCATATAGATTTAACTGTAGGTTTCTGAAGATGGAATTAGGTCTATAACTGCAATTTTTCTGCATATTAAAATCAAGATTGTGTAGTAGGGTAGACGAAGGATGTAGAATTTCAGCAGCTATTAAGAGAGATGAAATCTGAACTTAGTATTTGCATATGCCTTTCACCTCTTCATGTTACTATGAAAAACTTAGTAAAAGTGTTTGATGAAAATGTTACAACAATGAAACCATTTAAAACATCATTATTGTAATAATATGAAATTATTTTATAATTTGCCTACATTAAGGAAATGAGAAAGTGTTAATCAGTGGGCTACGGAGTACATACAAATGTTCAGAATTAGTAATGTCTTTTTTTCTTATACTTGCAAAGCTTCATTTCAGAATTTATGGATGAAGTTCACCATTTAGACCTTGTATTTCAGCCATTGGTTATTTTTATAACCTGATTGCTAACAAGTTAAAAAAAAAAAAAAAAAAAAGACTAAAAGCTGTATAAACTCTGCTCCATATTAATGATAGCAGACTTCTCTTTATTGTACTTAGCTTTTCAGAAGGGAGTGACATAGCTGTAGATATGGACTTACCTTTTTAAAAATGCTCTGTGTAATGTCATTCATGAATTTCCACCAGCTACCTTTGCAAAATATTTTTTAAGAAGTCCAGTATTTCTCTTTACAATGCTTTTCATTTCAAATGTAAGTAGAGAAATGTATGAGCTTTCTGCATTATCTGTCTTTATGATATTTGTCACAAGAAAGCTGGAAACCCTTACTAAACTTACTTTGTTAAAATTGTAGTCCTTTATCAATTTGACAAATGAAAATAAATCCACAACTCAGATGATTAAAACTTCATAGATCATTAGTCTAACTAAATCCTGTCTTGAAAAAGAAATACTTCTTTGCATAGTAATTACCTTGAATCCAAATTTGTATGTTATTCTGGCCACATTGTTCTTCGAACCCCATAAAATTGCAAGGCATCTCACATTTGTTCTGTGATGGGTTTTTCTTTATAACTTAAATCAGATGTGTTATTTTAAATTATGATGAATTAGGAAACTGAGGGAAAAACCTGATAGATACAGTATTTACCATCTTGTATTTTTGTAAAGAAAAAAAAAAAGTACTGATTTTTAGAATGTAGCCTGGAATCAAGTAAGTGATGAAGGTTAGTAGCTCCCCCCAAAGAAATGGTGGGGAGAGAAGATATAAAGGAAATTAAGTTCACCATTCTAGGCACTAATTTCTTTTCTTTCTCATGGCAATTTAAAGTAATATTTGGACCTTTTTATTATACAATAATTCTCCTTTTTCCAGTTTCATTAATATTTATTTCTTTTCAGTTTCCGCACTAGCAAAGGTGTTGGGTATTCTGCTCATTTTGTTGGCAACTGCTTAATAGTTACATCATTGAAGTCAAAAGGCAAAGGTTTCCAGCACTGTGTGAAGTATGACTTTCAGCCACGCAAGGTAAGCAAAGTGGTATTTACAATAAAGAATAACATTGAAAATGTGACAAAGTGCTTCTGGGAAGAAGGGCTAAAATCCCTTTAGTCCCATAGTGTTACTAATAATTTCTTATTTATAAGTAGCTTCTCTGATGGTCATGCAAAGTTTTATGTCAGTTACACACCAGAATCAATTCAAGAAAAATGTAATGATTTATAAAGTAACACTTCTATAGTCAACTTGTTTTTAAAAATACTGCTTAATTAGCTTCAGATGGAGAAGAATTTTATTTTTAAAAGATCGTCACTCTATTTCTGAACATTCTGTATTTGGTAATTTTGGTGCCAATGTCTGGATCAATTTTGCTGGCAATGCTAGAGTTTCATTATCTTTTGCTGGGGGATATAAGGCTCTGAAATTTCTACATCGGTGGTGTTTTGGGATTTCTCATTTTTCATAGTAAATCTTGATTATTTCTCTAGATCATATTAGTGTTCATTTCTACTGTATGCCTAGTAGTCCTAGGAGAACAATGATTCTGCTGGCTTCAATATTTCAGTTAGTTGACTGAAGCATTGACTTTTCCATACAGCGAGCATTATGTGTTTGTCGTTGATAGCAGCCTTGTATATATTTTGCTGTGAAGCTCATTTCTTTTTTATGGCCTTAGAATTTGTACATTGAATTTCAGTGCTTGTTTTCCTTTGAGAAACCAATCTCTTGGAGAGGGAATGCCATTGTTCACGCATCAAATTTATGTTCTACTATTTTTCTTGGTATATATTTGTGATTCAAAATCACTGATTCTAATTCTGTCATGGAGCTTTGAGGTCATGTGTGTTTTTTTAAAACATAGAAATGTCTTTTTCTAGCATATTACTCGGGGATGTATAAAGCCTTATAAACACATATCTGCTGAGTGTATTGAAATAAATCAATTCTGTTTTGCAGATTATATTTAATTTTATAGCCAGAAAAGAGTTTTGATGACAGTTCGGTTTTCTTTTAAAGTAGCACATCTGATGCTACTGATAAACACTCAACCTAGGAAAATGTAATTGTTAACTTTTGGAGTATGTTATTGATAACTAGCTTTTGGGATCTAGCTGATAATTTCTTTACTTGCTGATGTAAAGTCTTTACAGGTGTTGAAGTCTTTACAGTCTTTCATATTTCAGCAAGATATTCTTTAATAATTTTTATTATGAATTACTAGTTTCCTTCCATCCCTGGAAAATTTTAGCTCTTGCTATTCTACTTAAAATAGTTAACTCTGAAATATTAGTACATACATATCTCACTATATGAATATCAGTTTCAAATCATAATCTGCTGATCTGTGGAAGTATGTCCAAATATAACTTCATGCCAGTTTTATATTTCTCAGAGATCATGCTTCATACACTTTGGTTCATATGTCAGATTTAGAAAAAATCTTCTAGAATATATTTGCAAGTGGTTTCACATGATATTTTTTTTCCATTAATAACTTGTGTGAAAGAAAACCTGTCAAATACAATTCCTGGCTCTAACAAGTCAAAACATACCCTGTTTAACATGTAGATTGATTTTCTTCATGTTATTTAGGTATTACATTGGTTCCACTGTGCAAGCATTGAATGTGTAGATATGTATTCAAAAAATGTGTACCCATTTACAAAGCTTACTGTCCAAATGCTAACTTGAGAAGTGTGATTTTTGTCATCATATATACTATTTTCTCGCCATTTGCTTACAGATGTAGACATTTCAGCAATAGCTTTTGCCAGAAACATCATCCTCATGAAACTTCTGAATAAGTTTTTTTAAAAATTCTGTTGAATCACAATAAAATTATATATTTCAGCCACCTGGTCAAAAGCTTTATGTAGGCAGATCAGAAAGATACTATGTTCATGTGAAGATCTTCCCACTGTTAACTATGTCATATGACACCATTCACAGAATAATAGGTACTCTTAATTTAAAACTTTAAGATGTGTTAAGTGGCTACTTTAAGTTTTAATTAGTGTATTTTAACAACATTATAAAAGCAAATATTATAAAAATACATGGATAAATTTGGTCATCATATCCCCAAATAGAAAATGTGGCTGTAGTATAATAGACTGACTTCTCAACAGAGCTAAATTAGCTTTGGCAGTGTTGTGTTTAATATATCTATACTGCTTTTTGGGACTCCAAAGTGAAATTTTTGTGTATTAGTAACCCCCAGTAATTTTCATTCCCTTGAGTTCCAGCCTCAGCGTCAATCCTTGTAAAAGTATGAACAGGAAAGCACTGTAGTCGAGAGCAAAGAGCGTTTTTTTGGTGTTTCTAATCCTGAACACCTTTACTAATTGAAATAAGTGCCACACTTTGGAAATACTTAGTGTGTGATGCCTCATCTCTCTGATTGTACTGTGCTATGAGTAGGAATATGACTTACTCAGCAGTGGGTGATTAAGCTTGAAAGATTTCAGCAGTATAAAAAATTGACAGGCTGTTATCTAAGTGTCTTTAAGTACTGCCTAAGGAAGCTCTTGTTATAGCAGAGAGGCATGGGCTTGGTGCATTTTTGAGAAAATTATATAGGGAAGGATACTGTAGCATGAACTTAGAAGAAAATTGTGTTACTGACATCGAAAACAAAAAAAAAAAGGGGGTTGGGAATTTTTCAACTAAAAGTTGGAGAAAAATTGTGTGTGAGATTATACAACTTCGTTTGGTTCATTGTGTAGAAGTAAAGTCCTGAAAACCATGTCCTCAGGTACAGAATAGGAGAGAAATCAACAAAATGCCTGTACTACATCAGCAAAGAACATTCACATAAATGAGACATAGGTAATAGGAAATTATGAGACAGACATATATGCTTGTTTCTACATATTTAAAAAATAAAAGAGAAATTGGAATGTCTATTTTAAATGAGGTTATTGACATAATAGAAGTATCAGAAGCTTTATTGTTTTGACCATCAGTGGGCACTCATTTCAAATTGTACGTACAGTTACGAGGGACAGTGGGGCAGGTCTTGCCAATAGAGTAGCGATGCCCTGTATTAAAGACTTAACCTAATCAGATAAATAAGTTAATTGTAACAATAAATAACGGAGTTTCTGTGCACTGAAGATCAGTATCTAAGTAGGAAAACTGTACTGTTCAGGTTAAATTGTTAGCCACATGATAAGAGTGATTATAGCATCTGTGATGAACTGGGGAAGATCAGAAAGCATACTAATATAAAAAAGCTTACATTACTTTGCTGTAAACTGGGTGGCATCTTACTGGGATGAAGGTTCAAACTTCTAAATACCAGAAGCATTTGGATTTATTTCTTTTTGAAACTTTTAGAGAGCTCAGAGGTTGACTCTTGCTTGACTTTGTCTTGAAAGATGGAGAATATGCTTGGATATGCAGGATTTGCTATTTTTATTTTTAAAGGAACTGCAAAAAACTACCTTCACTTCTTAAAAAAAAAAAAAAGAAGAGGAGCAGTTAAAAGATGGAGGTGTTTGATAGTGCTAAAGAAATTGCTTAAATGCAAAGATACAAAAGGCTAAGAGCAAATATACCATTAGTCCAAAAAATCTAGGAGAAAGTTTAAAAGCTTCACACAATGTACCTAAGCACAGATAAATAGCAAAGTAGAGACCATTGTAAGTAAAAAGAAGTTGTTCAGAAAGTGGAAGTTGTATCAAAATGAAGAATACTTAGAAAAGTATAAGTTATAGCAAATTATATGTAAAATGATAAGACAATTCAATTTTTTTTTCCAGTCCATAGGGGAAATTAGATGACTAAGGCTTAATAGGAGCTCTTGAAGAATATAGTATCATAACAAAAAAGCTAAATGAATTAATTGCATCATTGTTTACTACAGGAAGAGTCAATGGGGGTGAGTCAGAGGAAGTGTCTCAAATTGAAATGTCAGTAGAAGAGGTATAGAAATCAATATAAGAGATAGTAATTATTTGCCAGGACCTTACAGTAGGCACCCACAAGTTCCAAAGAAATTTAAAGATGAAATTTGCCAAACTTTTAATTATGGTGTATAATCTATTTTATCAAACAAATGGGTGATGGAAAATTATACAAATTTTAGAAGAAGGCTTTGCTGATATTTAGAATTACATATTATCATGCCTGATTCCTGAACCATCAAAATGGGGATGAAGCTAGAAGAATGCAAAGGAAGGATTAGAAAACACACAGATAAACATAGTGGGGACAAAGCAATGCAATATTGCACTGGAGGTCTTGTCCCCCACTTCTGTGGATATTTTTGAAAGATTCTGCATAAGAACAGGTTTGTGAGCCAGCTAATACATGCTATGTGGATTCCCCAAGAACTTTAGGCATTATACTGCTCTGAAAGCCTTGAAGAAATTATGCTATCAGGCGATAAGAGAATTTATATTCGTTAAAACACAGGGATGGAAGAATATGAATCAAGTGAGCAAACAGGAATCTCAGAAGAAGGCGATAAGAATGCATTATGGACTTAACTCAGTGGAGTTTGTCATCCTCTATTTTAGGAACTAGCTTTGAAAACCTTTGTTATTCATTTTATCTAGATTGATATTAGTGACAAAATATGACACAAAGAGTAAACCATTTTTTTAATACTTGAATACTTCCCTGGCTAAAAAGAAATTACAGTTTAAGATCTAAATTTAGTTATTTCAAGTGCAGGAGGCAAAAGAGCAATTTTTTTTACTGGATTACTTATGATAACGAGCTGGGATAGACTCTATGTGCATGCAGGTGTGTGTATGCATGTGTGTTCAAGTAAAGAAAAGCTCGATGTTTTTCGTAGAGCTTACCTTGTGGGTCAGAGTAACAGACATAGGTAGTGCTCTGACATAGCAACAGTGCTAAAGATTCAAAAAAGTTGCATGGAAGAAAGGAGACTTGGACTAAAAGAAGCTGCATGTGCATGAATGGGGGTTAACATGGGGAAACAAAGAGATTATAAAAAGTAGATTATATCATTTTCCTAAAGTTTGACATGGACACCAAAGCTCTCCCATGATAACATTGCTCATTTTAGTTTGTAGGCTCTGTGGACAGTGTTTCAACAAAAGTAATGAACTATTTATTTCCAAATGAATGAGTCATCTATTAAGCTTAAGCTTACACACAGGGACAGTCTTACAAGCTGGGATGTTGTCAGAATTGCTCTCAAAGTACTGTAAAAGAAAAATCACAGATAGAAGATAAATGGATAGAACGTGGGGCTTATGGTTGTCAGCTGATTTCTGCTACAAAAGTATCAGAACTGGAAATATGAATAAATAGTTATAAAAGGTACAACTTTGAATAGTGCTATTACAAAGAACACTGCTGTTGCCATGAAAGTATTTAAAATCATCATCACTTAGTGGAGGTTTTTGGTAAATTAACCTTTGAAGAAAGAGGACAAGGGAATTTTTCTTCTGAGAGATTTATGTTAGGTGGTGTGGAAGCTTTGGAAAAGAAGCGTTGGTGAAAGCAGAGCTCTAGTCATGCGGTTTGCACTTAGTTTCTGATTAGCATAGTCACTAGTTAAGCTTCTAGACTTTGAGTTATGAATATGTTGTTGAATTTATGGTGGGTGTTCCTTTCTGAAGTAGAATCTGCCTACAATATGGGGAACAACACTTGCATATTGAGTTGTTGGTTTGTTTTTTGATTTTTTTATTGGTGGGGTGGGCAGTGGCCTACAAAAAATACTTTGTTCATGGTTGCATGAAAAAAAAAATTAGACTGGCCACATGTGACTTCAGAAGCCAAAGCTGTAGCAGTACGTCCTTAATCTAGTATTGCCCAATAAATCTGTTTATTTGGATATGCAAGAAGTGAGATACTCTTACGTACTGTTGTATGATTGGTAGGGTTTTCCCCCCTTCTGTTAACTGTAGGTTTTAAGGAGGGAAAAATGAAAATATATTTTTAAAGACCTTGAAACATGTGGGAAAATATGTGTATTCTTATATATACAGATATTGTAGATACGTAACAGAATACAGCTCAATTCGAGGACTACTGCAACAATTATTGTCAAAATGTATTTTGCTGAATGCTTTTTCAATTTGTAATTCTGTGCTGTGTCTGATTTCAAAGTCAACATGTGAAAACTTTTTGCTTTTTTTTTCTCTGATACAGAGAGGCAGATTTTTATATTAGTAGGCTCTGTATCTACTTACCCCAGCTCAGGGAGAGAGTCATCAAGTGACTTATTCAAATAATGCCCTGAGGGGTGCAGAAGTTCTCTGCTTTGAAAAAAAGAGACTTAGCTGAATATAGAAATCAGAAGATAATAATTGAAACAGATACCAAGAAAGAGAAGACAAATAAATTGTAAATTACTATTCCAAATTATTAAAATATGAAATGATGTTTTCAAAGCAGATGAGCTGACTTTTTCACAGAATCAATAAGATTGGAAAGAGATGTGTTGAGACAGTCTAGTCTCACCCCCTGTTCAAAGAAGGGACACCTAGATCAGGTTGCTCTGGATGTTGTCCGGTCAGGTTTTGAATATCACCAAGCAAGGAGACTCCACAGTTTCTCTGAGCAACCTGTGCTAGTGTTTGACTATACTTACTGCTTACTACCACCCTTCTTACATATGTTTAAATGGAGTTTCCTGTATTTCAATTTGTGCCCATTGCCTCTTGTCTTGTCACTGGATACTAGTGAGAAGTCTCTGGCTCCATCTTCTTTATCCCCTGCCCATCAAATATTTATACACATGGATAAGATCCCCCTGAGCCTTCTCCTTTAGTCTTCTCCAGACTAAATAGACCCATATGTCAGCCTCTCCTCATGTGTCAGAGGCTTCAATCACTTAATCATCATTGTGGCCCTTTCTGGACTTTCTCCAGTATGTCCATTTTCATCTGGTTTGTATATATTTTGAAATAATACAGACACCCATTATAGTTAAGTATGAGTTGATTTGCAGATCTTAAAGATTAAATTTCCATTCTTAGTCTTAGATGAGTTTAAAGGTTCGGTTTTAAAAGAAACTTAAGGCTTTCTCCTTGGACTTATTCATTATGGACATAATGATTCCTGTTGAACAGATTATTTGAAAGATCACCATAGTTGTACTTGGAAGCATTTTACTGTGATGTTTTCTCTGTTTGATTATATAATGCATTTTTAATGATATAACAGTTGTCCACAAATGGGTGGAATAGTGAAGAATAGAGGAAGAAAATATGAAGCAATCAGGATGACGTCTTAAACTGGGGTGTAAAATTTGCTGTTGCAAATTTTTTCCTTTTGTTTAATAATTTCTGACAGAGAGCTATGATGAAAAGGCAGAGATATGTGATATGAACTTGTTAAGGTAAGTGCACGTAGAACTGGATTTCCCATCAGAACTCAATTGTGTTTTGTGTTACAGTATAGTGTTTAAATTAAATTACACTTTCAGGAATGGAAGTGTATTCAACTTTTTAATTCTATGTATGCATTTCTGGCTCTAATCCCATAAAGAGATGCAGGTAGGTACATCATTACATTTAGGCACAGTTCTACTGACTGGACTTGAATTTCCACCGACTTCACTTTTAATTTTACAAGTTTGCAAGGATTCATCTGTTTGTATAACTTTACGAGACTGGTCACTTATTTTTGATGCCATTCATTAACTTTACGTTTTATAGCACAAAAACTGCCACTATATACTGATTTTCCGTTTCTTTCCAGTGGTACATGATAAGCATTGTACACATCTATAATCGATGGAGAAACAGTGAAATACGATGTTACGTGAATGGTCAGCTGGTATCCTACGGTGACATGGCCTGGCATGTTAACACAAATGATGTAAGATTTTATTTTTTTCCTTTCTCATAGCTTTTCATTTTAAAGTAAATTGAAAAAGAAAACAAAGTACTATATTTGTTTTCTCTAGATCTTTGCAAATTTTCTGTCTTTTTTTAACTTTCTCCTTTAATCTATCTTCCTTAGTTATGTACTTAATAAAATGTAATATTATTGATTTTTTGTATTAATATTTTTTAGAATATTGGGGATTTTGGGGGGCTGTATTTTGCATGGCTATTTTAATGAAATTTTCAGAGATTTTGTTTGGAGAGACTTAATATGTGGTACTGTATAGAGGACACTGATAACAATGGATTAATACTTAGATTTTTTCATAGGAAAATGTGGTAGAGTTACAGATTTTACAGATTTAGCTTGAGAAAAGTCTGTAAGAAAAACTGATTCATTCTGCCAAATGACTATCCATACTGCCAATGTATACAAAAGTACTCATTTTTGTATCACATTAAGTTCTGTGTTGGATTCAAGAGGAGATATTTGTTAATAGTTAAAAGATTTCTATGCTTTTTGTGTTACTGAACATTAAATTTTAAGTAGGTTTTCTAATTGCAGCAGAACTGAGTACCCTGGACTATGATCAGAGTCATATTGTTTTAAGCACTGTATAAGTATAGTAAGAGATCATTTCTTCTATGCAGAGTTTACAGTTCTAAACCAACAAGACAGAGAGACAAAAAGTAAAAGCTAGAAAACAGAAGCATGGAGAAGTATCAAGAGATTTATAGTATTATGAAAACTCTGAAGTCTTACATCTGTCTCCCAGTAACAAGTATATTTTGCCTTTTATTATTTGACTTGACATTATTAAATAGGCAGCTGACCAATATTAAAAATGCTGTGCTAAGTTTTAAAGTATTAATATTTAGTTAATATTATTAGCAAGTACAAATTAATTGCTACAAAATTTCATCCCTGAAATACTGAGCAATTTTCTTGGGTAGTAAACTTTTACAGAGAGATGTCCTCACTTATTGACCATCCAAACCAGTTAAAAGATATTGAGAGACGTACAGTTGCGTAGCATTAGTCAGCTCAGAGCAAAGACACAGCAATCTTGCATCTGCTTGTCCCACAAGCATAAACCAGTCATTTTTACCTGGAGAAGATTGCATGTATACCTGTAAATACACCTGTATGTATTAATGGGACTGAGTTCAAATTAACAGTATATTCTTACCGGAAATGCATCCATTTTCATATTTTTTTATATTTAAATTCTTTTAATGAAATCTATGTAAGTTTCAACAATTTTTTTGTGCTCTCTTTTTGTACCTTCTACTTTGGAAGGCTTGAGAATCTATACCTAATGGTGCAGAAAATAGGCACTCTTCCTGGCCCAAAGTTTTGGATGGGGAAGGCAGACAGAATGATTCTCTTGTGCTCTGCCTTCAGCTAAAGCTATGCTAGACTTTCAGAGGTGCTTGATTCATCAGCTTGCTACACTTTTGTTATTTCTTATTTATAATATAATTCTCAGTTGTTTCTTACTGCCTGTAAAGGATAAGGAAGCTCTTTTATACTTAAGGAAATTAACTGTGTTTTGCTAAAATCTAGAGGCAAAGTTGAGTTTGAAAGGCAAAGTTTAAATATTGCATGTTAATTAAAGTAGGATGGTGTCGTGGTTTAACCTGGCAGGCAGCCAAATACCACGCAGCCGCTCACTCACTCCCCCCCAACCCCCCCGCGGGGGGGGGGGGGGAGACGCAGGGGGGGGAGAGAATCGGAAGGGTAAGAGTGAGAAAAACTCGTGAGTTGAGATAAAGACAGTTTAATAGAACAGAAAAAGGGAAAATGATAATGATAATGATACAATATACAAAATGAGTGATGCACAATGCAATTGCTCACCACCTGCGCTGACCGATAACCAAGCAGCAATCAGTACTTCCTGGATCACGCCTACCATTCATATACTGAGCATGACATCACATGGTATGGAATACCCCATTAGCCAGCTGAGCTGGCTGTCCTGATTATGTTCCCTCCCACCTTGTGTACCTAGCTCAGTCAGTAGGCATGGGAGCTGTCCTTGGACTAGGAGGGCACTTAGCAACAACTGAAAACATCAGTGTGTTATCAACATTGTCCTCATACTAAATCCAAAACACAGCACTAGGAAGAAATTTAACCCTATCCCAGCCGAAATCAGGACAGATGGCTCTGGTTGCCAAAGCTTCTGATCATCATTCTTTGTTTGCTTGGTAGCATTTCTGTTTGCAAGAAAAGGCAAGCCTTTCAGTTTTTGCAGAGCATGGTTTCTCCTTGGTAATATAAAAATTTTTGTGATAGGTGAGAATGCGATGATTGAAAAGCCAGCTGAGGTCTCAGAGAATCTGGGCTGAGTTACTAGTTATATGGTGTGGGGATCTGTAATCCTTAATGATAAATGCTTAGCAGGAAGAGCTGCTCCTTCTATTCATATTTTCTTCACAGTATTCCTTTCTAATTTCTCATGTTACAGAAGTACAATCTTTTCTTAAGGTCGGATTGGTTTACTAAGCTTTAGATGTTTTGACATAAGTCTTAAGTTTCTGCTAATGTTTTAATATAAGTCTTAAGTTTCTGCTAATGTTTTACTTTGTCCGCTGGAGTATATACTAAGTTATGAAAGACTCTAGTTGTGATTAGCGCTCTGTTTTTTAATAACAAAAATCTGTTATATCAGAAGTAGGAAATAGAATAGAAAGTAGGAGAAATTCAGGAAAGATGTATGTATGCAACTATGTAAAAGGCATAAAAAGGAAAATAGGGGAGTGCGTATGTAGGCTCCTTAGCACTATTATACATTAGCTAGGAAGAGAAGCTCTTGTTTTGACTGTATTAGAACTTTCTTGTTTCATATAAAGGTTGAGTTGTTAAAAGTATTCCCTTGAAAAGTCTTGAGCAATTACCCAGCTTATTTGTTAGCTTCTACCTTCTTACCCTTCCACTTGGATATAACTTTAGTCTCCTGGAAGATGACAAGAAAGTACCTTACCATAATAGCTTGAGGGGAAAAGAAAAAAAACTATGCAAGTCAGCCAATCATTCTTCTTTCTTTACATCATATATTGTGCATAACTATTTATGTAGATTACACCGTTGTGTAACAGTACAGGTTGCGAAAACAGATAGTGAAAACTGAGAAAAGAGCAGGAGTTGCATATTGTTGACTAAGTGCATCTTATCTTTTCAGTCTTTTCTTATACAAGAACATTATAGAGATGTAGTGTTTAAAACACTAAACATAATGAAGACAAGATTTTTCAGTTGGTCACTGTGTCAAAGCTACCACTGAACAAAATACAATATGATTAAATATTTTTTTTAGATTACTAAAAAATATTCATTAGATTTGCATTATTGAATTTAAGATTAAGGGACTAAAGTGAATTTTTTTTTTTTTTAAGCATAGATTTTGTCTTGGTAGAGACTGTGAATTTATTTTATTTTATTTTTTCTCAGATTGATCTTGCATTACAATTCTCTTATGTTTTTATGACATTTTTTTCAATATCTGACATTTACCTCTCATATCCAAACAAGAACTGAAGAATACCACAGTCTACAATTTTCCTATGTACCCTGGAAGACACTGAAGTAAAGATGCAGATGACAAAAAGGGTGAAAGTTTAAAAAGATGCTTTTTTTTTTCGTTTTTAATGATTTTTTTTCTTGTATTTCTTCTAATTCATTCTTATTTATACACAGCCATGAAGTCACTGGGTTCTTAACTGTTTCTGTAATATGGGCAGCAAGATATAGGATATTACATGAAGTAGTCATTAAGGCTACACATCGGTATTCTTCACAAATGTATGTTGTCTTAATAGACGTGTTTTCGTTTAGGGGTTTGCAAAATGTGTCATCTATGCAAAACTCTAAATCACTCAAACCTTCTTTAAGATTTTTCATTTTATTGAGGGGACCTCCATGTATTAAAAATGTTGCACAATGTTCACGCCAAATGTTAGAGGGAAGATATGAGTGTGGATGAAAAAGGGGAAGATACTGTAAACTTCTTTGTGTAGTTGTTTCTATTGTGAATGCTGCTGTTACACTGTTTCCATAGAGCCATTTTTGGCTCCGACTTCATTATTACTATTTAATGAAGTATAAAACCATAGCAATGCTGAGATTCATTGGTTAGGGTGCTACACAAGATACAGTAGCTAGTGGTAAATAACTCATTGAGTTTATATTCCAAGGAGTAAATATAGTTAGAGATTATGACAAAAAGATGAAGTGAAATGCATGGCAGGGTATAACATAGTCAAATGTGTGCAATTGCTAGCTGGTCAGTAGTCATGATCAGCTCCATATGCCTTATGGAGTTACTTATAAGAGATCAAATACACTTTGAGGTGGAAGTTAAATTGGAGGAGTTTGGCTATTACAGCTGTTAGATTAGGAATTTTCCCCCGTTACGGGAAGTAACATGAGAGAAAGCATAAAACTTCTCTTCAAGGTGTAGAATATGGGGATACTGGTGGAAGATTTTTGTTCAGATAGCTGGATGAAGATAAACTTGATGATGTCCTGACGTCTTTCACAGAACTTTGCATTTCTGTTGTAGGATAAGGAAACTGTAGAAGGATTTAAAAAGTTGAAGTGATGAAAAGCCAACAGGTTGATGACATCAGTAGCACTTGGGCTGCATTTGAAAGAAGGCTTATAAGCATCAAGAATATTAAGGATAAAGTTATGTCCTTAAGTAACAAGGTTCATAAGTCCCAAGAGTTTAATTTTTTCTGTAAATAAAATAGGAGGATTTGGACCAAGGCACTGAAAGAAGCAGATCTGTCTGTCATCTCATCTTGGGATCATTAATGACATACTACCAGGGATGTACAGAAATAGGCAAACAAACTTGCATCAGTTGGTGCGCGTCAGGTTTAAACTGTGGAAATGTGAGATAGTTGGAGAAAGACCAAATGAGCTATGAATATTGGGTGCTAGTTTGTAAATAAATAAATCAGTAAATCAGGTTTATGGATTGTTTGGAACAGAAGTGAATAAAAATTACCAGAAGATCAGGAGTTAGCCCTCCCCTCCAATTAAAAATAATGGAAACACCTAATCCAGATGAAGCATGAGAAAATGGGAAAGTGTAATCTGGTAAGAATGAAAAAGTTTTTTAGTTTTGTCCAAAAAACTTATAAAAAAATTTAGAAATTCCAAGGGAAAAAAATTAGGTATTTGGTCAAAAAGAGGATAAATCAGAGATAAAATCCTGGATACTTCTTATCTCACCTCACTGCAAAGCTGAGCTCCAAATCTTTGACTTCCTCCTAAGTCTTTAGACAGAGTCCCCTTTTCCATGTTAATAGCTTATCCACCTAGGCCAGTTGCTGTAGAGTTCACCATATTTGATTCCATTCTCCAGACTGACAAAAGTTTTTCTTAGCGTAAAACTCAGCAGCCAAGCAAGATGAAAAAGCAGGCTTCCTAATGCAGATTCTGTTGGTTTGCTGATTCAGATCAAAAAGTGAGGCCTGATCCTTGTTTCCATTAAATAAAGTACATGTGACTCAGGAAGCTGAGAGAATAGCCTTGCAAAAGATCCTTGTGCTTCCTGTTGTCCTCTTGTGCTGCATCTTGTTTTCCAGTTCCCCAGATCTTTATTCTAGACAGTTAAGTTCTAAACTTTGTTTCGTCTGAAAGCCTTTTTTCTTGGAAGCACCAGAAGAACTTAACCTAATTGTTGCAAAATAAATTTAAATTGGAAAAAAAAAAAGCCACAAAAAACTACTTCAAATCTGAAATAATAGGGAACGGACAGATAGAGAACTGCAGAAGGTCTTTGTGCAGAAGGATAGTTTTTGGAAGGAGGAATGGAAAATAACAACTCTTGTGACTGTGGAAGAAGACAGAAAAGGAGTTTAAGGTCAAACCAAATCATTATAGACTGTGGTCATAGAGGAAATCTGTGCACCAGTTGCAAACTAGAAAAAATAGTATTTGTTTTTTTCTGCTAGAGATGTTTATCTCTGTTAGCACAACAGTGAAAGAGCAGCACCTGTTCTCCTGTTTTAGCAGTGGGAGTTCTGATTATAGTTACAAGGAACTTAAAGGCTTCCATATTTCCTAGAAGGCAATAGGGAAGGTTATTTGGTACTTGAATGTACTGTTCTAATTTTCTTTGCTGTATGTTGAATAGTTAATAAAAAACAAATCCTAGCAGCCAGTCATAACAACATTGTAATACTGACCTGTAAAACAATTAATGCTACGATATTCAAAATGAAGTTCACTAAAGGGAATCAGGTAGTGAAGTAATAAATGATTGATTTATTTTCTTAATTACAGTCTCCCTTTATTTTTTGGCTTCCATAGCTGTACATGGATATTATTTCATTGTATAGTTTGTATGACTAAACTTCATTAACATTACCTCTTTCTGATACAGAGCTATGATAAATGTTTTCTTGGCTCTTCGGAGACTGCCGATGCTAATAGAGTGTTCTGTGGCCAGCTTGGAGCAGTATATGTATTCACTGAAGCACTCAACCCAGCACAGATTTTTGCAATACATCAGTTAGGACCTGGATATAAGGTAATAATGGATCTTAGAAAATGTAAAACTGGAACAAGAAAATAATTGATAGATATAGTTGGAAGATATGTATGCATGTAGATATTCCTCTTAGGATCATGTAGAGCTATGTGATTTGTTTTCAGCAAAAGAAGAATATTTCTTCAAGTATCCTAACTAACCTTAATTTCCACGAGCTTTTTGAAAGATGCAAATTATTTCTTTAAAGCATGGCTGAAACATGTTTGTATTTGAAATTTATGACTTTGGGTCGTAATCAGATTAGGGCAATTTTGTATTTGGTGTACTGAATACCAAGGGAATAACTTTCTTCCTCTACTGTTTGTGTTTAAAACCTGAGACAGATTAACATTCAACAAGGTGTATTAAACCAATTCTGTTCAAATGCACGGTTTCAAACAGTTCTGCTGAAGTAAAAGTTGAGCTTTTTACTCATGCTTTGCCAGTAACATTTAGGGGACAGTTTGGACAAATTAATGGTGCATGCATAAACTTGGATAACTAGTATGAACACTCACTTATGTCTTGGAATGGCTGTGTATAGTATTATTTCGTCAAGAAAAACAATGCAGATACTTTGCAGAAATCTGTAGAAACTGCCTAGTGGAGAAGGCTTGAAAATGAATTGAATCCCAGCTAAACACTATTGAATTTCTACCAAATCTTTTTCTGATTTGTGAAATTTGCAGTATCATCTGGAGTAGACTTTCAGTTTTTTAGTATATCATCATACAATCTGAAAATAAAAACTTTAAAAAATAACAAGTAAAAAATCAACATTTAGATTCTAATAATATTAATTTGGTGTGCTGAAAATGATTGCTCTAAATCATTTGATGACAGCTAACACTTGAATGGCAATGACAGTTAAAAATATCTTTTACAGTAAGTATGTAGTGTGAATAGCCAAATATATGTCAAGGTTAGTTGGAGAAGAGGAAGTCTATTGCATACGGTTGATGGTTAAAACCTGCCTTGAAACTAAAAATGTTCAGTCAAGAGAAGTGTATCACCTGTGCAAACAAGGAGTACTTTATTCCAAACTTAATACTGTATTTTGTTTGAACAAATATGTCTGCAAATGTTTTTTTGGTCATACAAAAGAAAGTAATGTAACCTTATACTATTTAATCATAAGTGTAGTAAATCTTTATGAATTTATTAAGTTCCTGGATTTGCAGCAGCATACTGAAGTGATATCAAATAGGAATAATGCTTTCATTTGTTTCAAGAAGTGAAAATTATTGTGTAATATTTTGTGAGTGTGGAAGGGGTCCATAAGGCACACACGCTTTCACACTAAATGACGTATCCAGTAGTTACTGCACTAACCTTATTACAGTGTTGTCAAATTACCTTGCTTGATTCATAGGCTTCCCTTAAACTATATTTCTTCATACCTGTAGCTTTTTACTAATTTTTGTAAAGTGTCAGTTAGATGAAATTTAATACTTTGGGATATTCTTCTTTGGTATATCGTGTTTTTAGGTTTAGGTCGTGTTCCCGGCACAGTTAATGACTCCTTCCTCCCTAAAGTAGTTTCCTTCCTTGTCTAAGAAGCTGAAAGTGTATTTTACTAATAGCAGTTAAAAAGAGCAGGTTCCTAGAGCAGGACCCTAGAAAAAACACAATTTCTTTCTTTAACTTCCTTATTTCCAAAAAATAAGACAAAACAGAACCCTTTTTTCTCACCTTCTTCCAACCCAAGATCCATCCACAACCAAAAAAAGGAGCCATGTCCTGTAATTTAGAGATCTCGGGACACTGGTTGTGGCTTTCACTCAAAGCTTGCCTCTTTCATGTCTCAGTTAAGTTTATTTCTGTAAATTCTTTCAGATTCTGTGCAGGTGCAAAGGCCCACCAGTTCAGAACACTTCAGTATGGTATTTCATAGTCCAAGGGAGCCTCAATTGACACGTAGCTTGAATTGCTGGACGTTAGAGATCACATTCTTGCTCTTGCCTAACTTGCTGTATCCCAGCTGAAACCAGGACACATTCACCCCATTTTGCTACTGTACGTTCAGCAATCATACATAAAATACTATCTTGTTCTATATAATTGGCTTAAGCAAATTTGAATTTTCAAGAGTATTTTGTGTGTGTTTGTATTTGCGTGCATGAATGCATTTTTACTCCAACCTTCGTACATGACAAAAAGATTGATACTGCAACATTGATCAAGGGCAAACTCAGATGCAGCAACATATGCAATAATCTGATAACTTGTTTTGAAATGTGTATGGGAGGGTTCAGAGGAGTGGTGCAGACTTGACAGGGCTATTAGGACAGGGCTTTGTTGAAATATCCCTTTATAAACAGCACCAAACACTGCTATCAGATGCATCTCTTCCTCCCACATTATCTTCCTGGCCACCTAGAGCCAGTTGCCCAGGACCGTGTCTTTGAATACATCTGAAGATGGAGACTCTACCACCTTGCTGGGCACCCTCACAGTGAAAAAGTGCTTCCTGATGTTCAGAGGGAACCTCCTGTGTTTCAGTTTGTACCCATTGCCTCTTGTCCTGTCACTGGGCACCACTGAGAAGAGCCTGACTCCATCTTCTTTGCACCTTCCCTTCAGATATTTATACACATTGATGAGATCCCCCTGAGGCTTCTTTTCTGCAGGCTGAACAGTCCCAGCTCTCTCAGCCTTTCCTCGTAGGAGAGATGCTCCAGTCACTTTGTGATTTTAGTGGCCCTTCATTGGACTTTCTCCAGTAAGTCTATGGCGCTCTTGTACTGGGGAGCCCAGAACTCCAGGTGTGGCCTCATCAGTGCTGAGTAGAGGGGAAGGATCACCTCCCTCCAGCTGCTGGCACCACTCCTCCTAATGCAACTAAAGATAACATTATCCTTCTTTGCCAAACGTAGATTAAACCACTGACTTCCCATTCACTTAGTTTTGCCCTTCCTACTTGCATTCTCTGTTATGGTACCTGCATCTCATACATTTTCAGCATGGCATTGCTGCCTCCCTTCTGCTTGACACCACCAAGCATGGGACAGGGCTGGCTGACAGATCTACTTCCAAGGGTTCTCCAGCAGCTGCAGTCAGGTGCCCAGTCTACTCAGTCTACATCAATCTTACAACCCACATACAAATGGATGCTTGTCACAAGACCTTATATTGCCATGTGTCAGTCACTTGAGCAGATGCGCTTTCCGATCATTTGGCTGTAGGCAAGAGAGTTTTGTCAGGGTTTCCAGCAGCCTTGAGAGCTTTGCAAAAGCTGGATGGGTTTTATGGGTTTACATAATCAGTAGGAACCTGTAATTTGTTTGGAAAGAGCAGCTGATAGCCTATAAGTTGCCTATTTTAATTCTTCTAACCCAGATAACCAAAACCCTAGTGATAGTACTTTCAATAGTTTCATGATGTAGGATTTCGTACTGTGTGGAGGGAGGGAGGGAAAGATTTGGTAGGACCAAAGGGCTAAAGAGAATTGTGATTGCTATATGCAGTGAAAACAAGCAAAATGATTCATAATTAACCTCAGCATTTAATTATTTTAAACTGAGTAAAGATTTTAGAAATGTAACATATTATATATATATTGCATTAATTAAATGATGGTCATTTCTAACAAATTTGCATTACTTGTGTCAGTACAGCACTGTGTGTTACTATTAGTTGTCTTTTTGCCATTGTCAAATGATTGTTACATGCAAAAGTAGTTATGTGCCAAGTAAATCTGACAACGCTTTGCAGAAAGGCAGAAATCTATCTTGTGCTTGATTGATTTGTCAGTGTTGCCAGAAAACCTAAGATCAGATAATAGAAATTTTCAGTCTTTTTTTGTAAAAGCTTTGAGTTTGAGCATCATTAATTTGAAATATGGCATTTATAATTTTATTTGGATTTTTTTTTAGTGTAAGTAGCTTGTTTATGTATACTCCTGACTGTTAATGAAGCATGGGTTTTAATGCTGTTTAAAAATAACTATTCCTTTAATCAAAATGGTATAGGATTTGATATTCTAATTCAAGTGAGTTTATATAAACTAAAATACAAGGCATTTAATTTGTTCTTTATTTTTAATGCATTGTATGCTCAATTTTTTATTTTAACATATTTATAGCTGTTTAATGTGACACATTTCTTCCAGATACTTACTTCTGAAACTTGTTAACACTGATGCTGAAAGGAGAGAGAAATAATACTACATAAAATACCAAATATTATGTTAACATGTTGATGTGGAGTAGAGTAAATAAAAAAATTGTCTCATTGTTCTGTAGCATTAAACTACTGGAAAATTAAAACAAAGTTTAGCAGTTTCTATATTCCCTTTCAAGTCCAGTGTATCTTCTGCACATTTTGTGGCAATGATTTTGTCTAAAATATTTACTTTGTAAAACTTGTGTTTCTTTTTTTTCAGAGCACATTCAAATTTAAATCTGAGAGTGACATTCATCTGGCTGAGCACCATAAACAAGTGCTATACGATGGGAAACTTGCAAGTAGCATTGCTTTTACTTATAATGCGAAGGCTACTGATGCTCAGCTATGCCTTGAATCCTCACCAAAGGAAAATCCTTCCATTTTTGTACACTCCCCCCATGCTCTTATGCTTCAGGTTGGTGCTACTATATTGATGTTCTGTGATTACTGTTAGCTCAAGATCATTTGGATAATAAAAGGATTTGTGTGCTAGTGTACAAAGAGATTGTTATTTTGTATTATTTCATCTCTTAATATACCTGTCACTTGAACTGTTCTTCTAGAGAAAAAATTTATTTCTTCATTAAGAAATATATATTTTATACCATAAGGCACAGTTTGCCACGTTACTGAAGTTCTTCTGTTTAATGTTTGCCTTTAAGTATAGTGATTATAATTGAAACATAAGTAATGAAACTAAGTTAAAACAAGTCTGATTTAGTTTGCACTCAAGTCAGTGTTAAAAGTGTTCCCAAGTTATGTTTGTAACTGTCCTTTAAAATTGAGATTAACTGAGGTTTTTCCTTTTATTTATTTATTTTATTAATTTAGGATGTGAAAGCTATCGTAACCCACTCCATTCATAGTGCAATTCATTCCATTGGAGGGATTCAAGTTCTTTTTCCTCTCTTTGCCCAGTTAGACAATCGACAGCTGCACGACAGTCAGGTGGAAACGACAGTTTGGTAAGCTTCTTTCAAGCAAGATAAAAACTAAATTAAGCTAAGAATGTTTCTGGTTTTGTAGTGGGAATGTTTGATTTGTTTTCTTTTGTAAATGCTGTGACTTACATTTTACCCTTGTTTCTTTGAAAATAATATTACTGTTTTAAAAGTAGTTTACTGTAGAGATGTATAAATTGTATTAATCTGATGAGATTCCAGATAGAACTGGCATAAAATTGATTGGATAAAATAATGAATTCAAATCACTCTAGAGTCTTTAAGGATAGTTTTGTGACAGTTCTTGCAACTTCTAAAAGAAACTTTTACTTGACAGTGCAATGCTGTTTACTTTCCCAAAGACTGTGTCGTTTGAATTCATATTTAATAACATTCAAAATTAACGAAAGATATCTCCTTCCATATTAATACATGGTCAGAAAGTCATAGAGCTCTTATCAGTTATTTTGTGGCCATGTTACAATTGCAACAGTGACTGGGGACACACCAAGAAAGTTTTAAACAGGGGCACGTGAAGTCTCTGCTCTGATACTGTGGAAGTAACCCCTAGGTTGAAAAGCCTGCACAGAAGTTAGATGAATGCTGCCGTGTGTAGCCTGCAAAAGGGCTGCTTAGGAGTCTGTCAGTACCCACACTGACTTGTTCAAAGCTAGCTCAGTTGTAGTTACTTTTGCAAAGAAGATCTCTTGCCACCTGCTTGTCAGGGCAGGCTCCTATTCTAGTGGCAACACAAGATGTCTAAACTTGTCAGAGCAAAGTGTGTGGCCTAAACCTCTGGAGGTAACAAAACTGAAAAGGTAATGCTGAAGAACTGGCACGGTGTTTCCCTGTAGGATGGTATGTAACCAAAACCTGCTAGAAAACAGTGTTTAGGGGCAACATAAGCTGACTCTTGTATTTGAATAAATTTACAAAATAGGTGCATAATTCAGAGTACACGGCTTATTTTCCTGCTTAGAATATTCTGCTATTAATTATTCTGGATATTTCCTATTGCATTAGATAGTTCAGTAATAAATTAGTTAACTGAAAAATTATTAAATAATACGAAAATTGCCAACAATTTTGAAAAATTTAACTGAAAGTGATACATTGGTATAATTTCTCATAAGAGATCACTTGTCTCAATCTACTTTAAAAAATTCATCAATCTGGTAATTTGATGAAGTTTTGTCAGTCATCTCTTTTCCCCTTTGGTAACTCAAATGTATGTAGCCAAGGTGGCTGCTGGTTTTTATTTGTTTCTGTAGTGTGAAAAGTTAATGTGTTTCATGAGAATATTTTAGTACAATGTTAGAAGTAATACCACAGTCTTAAAAATAACGAATTCTACGTCCAAGCAGTATAGTGGTGCAAATTATTTCATTCAGTGTTAAAGACAGAAAAGCTGGTTGTGTATTGGCTCACATGGGATATTTACTTTTTTGTAGTCTGCTTTCCAGTATGAGCTTTGTAGTGAAGTATTGTAAAGTAAGGGGAATAAAAAAAACAACGCTCGGTTTGAAATAAATTTGGAAAAAAAATCCCTGTATATTTTTATTTACTGGCACAGCAGTCAGCAAAAATACTTTAAGGAAGATTATGTGTGTATGTGCCCATATATATGAATAAAATATATGTTAAATTCATTAATGAGCTGAGTCTGTAATAAATGATAAAGCAGTAACTAAGTGTTTAAAAATGGAGAGTTAATATAATGTAAGTTTTGTAAGTCGAGATAAAGACTAATTCTCCCAAGTGTGTGGTCTTTCCAGTGAGTGAGAACATTCATAAAGTTAAATTTAAAATGTACAGAACATTTCTGGAGTTAGTTGAACTGTAAGTAGGGAAAAAAAAAAGTTGTTCTTGAATAAATCAATGCATTTCTTCTATAATTAGATTATATTCTAAAAAGAGATCTGTAATTCATTATGCTATATGATTGTACAAAGGCATAATACAAAAAGATGTGATCCTAACTCAAGAACACATTCAAAAGATTTTTAAGCAAATGGCTGCTTAATGAGATGTAGCTTAAATGTTGAATTACCATGGTTTTGGTGTATGTGCATTATATTCTTATATTTAAGTTAATAGGGCGTAGATATTGAGAAAAATAATAGTTTAAGTGAACAAGGAAGTAGGCAAATAAAGGAATAAAAGAATTCTGGGGACAAAGAAAGGAGATAATGAGGAAAGGGGGCTAAACGTGAAAAACAGGGCTACGTTTAAGATTAATTTGTGGAGTGGAATAAGGGAAGTATACTTACTGAGTCCTTTCCTTCTTTCCCCTTGTTTTTTAGACGATCCTCTCTTTTTTTGTTTCTTTCCAAAATGCAGTTGTTGAACTGTATCTGATACTTGTTTATACCCTTCTTACTTATGAAAATATATCTACGACAGCAACAGAGGGCAGCACCGCTTCTTTCTGAAAAGTAGTTGGCGTTCAGCCATTACAGTCTATGTATTTTTATAAGCAGATAATCTTTATGCCACTTTGCCAAAAAAATAAAAAGTCCAGATGATGCTTGATGACAGCAGACCATTATGTTTGTAAAGGCTTACTGTGGCTGTAGAATTTATTTCTTTCTGGTGGCCAACTGGGGGGAATCAGAGGTTGTCCCTTGAACAGCTGTGCTGCCTTTCATCTTAATGTGTTCCTGGGAGGTGGGAAGTATAAATAGCTTGATACCCCAGTGTAAGTGTCCTAGGTTTCCAGACTACTTTTCTGAATCCTTCTCACCTCCATCTCTCCTGCACATATCAAAATCTGTTTAATAAGTTCAAGGTTCTCAATTATTTGTTTAATTGTTTTTTGAACATTAGAAGGGGTTTGTTAACAAGACTATGAGGGAACACCTTGCTTTTTAATCGTCTTGATCCACTTACAATTTTAATCTTTTCTAAATTAATAGATTCATTGTAAATAAAATTTTAAATTATAAAGCAGGGAAATATGGATATAGCAACTTTGTGGTTTAATGGTATTCTTTGTAAATGTTCTTTATTCCTGTAATATGTATATCCCTGTGTGCCTTATCTACATCTTCCATGAGACCAAGTATTGAAATAACCTACAGTTCTGCTTTTGAAGCACTGTATAGATTCTTATGCTCTCATACACTGAAATTAAAAGAATGGAAACAGTTCATATCGTAAGTATGTTTTCTTAGATTAAGTGATGCACCTGCTATTCAGGAGAGTGGTCCCTCAAATAGAATGTCAAGACTGCTACTTTTCATCCTGCTTTTCAGTACTGTGGTTAGAATAGAAAATTTAGCAGTTTAGGTCAATAAGGTGCTTATGTAATAAAAAGAAATACAGAGTGCTTTTTTCTGTTATGATACTGTTGTTGTTACCTATGATTATAGTATATGCGTAATATAATAGGAAGGACTTGCTTTGTTCACTTGTGGTCTCTCATGTATGGTTTTGAATTCATTTGGGTTTGCTGAGCACTGACATACAGACTGATTCTGACAAGGTATTGGGTGCGCAGTCTTTGGCACTGACCCAATTCCATCACAGAATAAATAACAAGTGCTAATTCAGATGAGATTGTTGCCTTGGACTGCATCATATTCGGAAAATATTTGAAAGTAGAAGGAGCTGTAGCTGTTTGCTTAAATAGATGAAGTTATTCCAAGAATTCTTTTATATACTTATTCTAGAAGTTACTAACTGGATTTGCTAGATCGCATACACCATACAAAAAAAATTAAAAATACTTTTACTGTTTATCATACTAAATAAATGCAATACCTAGGCCCACCTTAACTTTCTTAAAGGTGATATATACACCCACCTGAAATTTCTAGCAAAGTAAACGTAGGCATCTTTTCAGTCAGTTTTATTACTGACATTATTTTCACCCTTTAATATAGGTAGCCCTGTTACAGAGTATATTGCCCACCCATTGTGAGTAAGTCAGTGAAATGGAAACAATAATATTTCAACTCCTGTTCGTCATCTTTTCCTGTAAATGTTGTGTGTATTTTGATCAATTAATATTTTGTACTCATTCTTTTTAGTATTTTTTATATTCAAATGATGACTTTTTGAGTTCCTGTCTGTAACTAGCAGTGTTGCTGCATCTACTTTTTGGTAGATGAATAGTTTGATAGGAAATAGGCAGTTTTCCTATCAGTTTCCACACACAGGAAATAGCACAGCTTGATAGGAAATACAATTTGATGTCTTGATTTTTTTGTTAGCTTAATATGAAAAATCTGTGAGTTTCCAATAATTCTTAATAATGTTATTAGTTTAATTGAATTTATCTTTAAGATCATGGTAGCAAATAAGATGAATGCCAAGTAGTATCCTACCTACCTAAGCTGAACTCTTCTACTGTCTTTCAAGAATTTTCTTGTTTGCCACAGCTGGCCCAGGTATTTAAACTTGAGAGTGGGTACAAAAGTCATCCTTTCCAAGGTCGTTGCATTTACCTTTGTGCCTCTGATGGAGAGCCAAGGTTCCAGTCCACCCCTGCCTCCAGTCTACAATTTAGAGTTTGCAGAGTTGGGTGCTGATAACCCTCTCCTCATGCATTTCGAAGGGAAGAAGGCTGAATATCGCACCTGAAATTTCAAGTCTCTAGTATAACCTAGCTGTGCTCAGATGAAATCAGTTGTACTGGAATCTTCCCAGACTGTGACGGTAGGAATGTGACTTGCCAAATCAGACTGCCTGGACGATAGTTTATAGTGAAAATACAGTCACTGTATCATGTGGTAGAAATCCTTTGTAAACTCTCAAACTGCAGTATCTCCACATACTCCAGAAGATCCAGGAACTATCAAGGGTGGGTAATTTATGACTGGAGCCTGTGTCCCAAAATGTTATGCCTGTAAGCAGAGGTGTGTAATGTCTTGCCTCTCTAGTTCTCCCATGCAATGCCTATTCATCTGACTCGTGTTTAGTGGCATCAGTTTGGATGAAACACGTTTAATAGTCTTCTCTTATTGTCCTCGTCATATGTTATAAGAAAAAGAAGTGGAAAAGCGAAAAGAAAGAACTAGTTT